ATGAATGACTTTGACAGCGCCCATGGAAACTACTAGGAGTCCCATTGTGTTGGCTAGCAAGCACTGCCACCATGACATTGATGATGGGTTCCGCCCGTATGCTACAAACATCCGGGTATGGCAAGTCCTGCCAGATGGGGACCGAGGCTTGAAACTTTTTGCCATCTGGTGTACAGCTTTCAAGCGCCGAGGGCCAAGAACATCAAACAAGTCTCCGTGTTGATGAATGCCTGCAGCGCAAGTGCAGCAGCTAGAGCTTGCAGCAATAGCCCTTGAATCCAGCATGGGCGGGGATGTGAGCGAAACAAGGCAAGAGCACGGCTAATGGTCTCGCAAAATCTAACGAGAGCATGGCAGCACTGGGCATCGCTCCCTGAAAGCAACTGTTGGTCCATGTTTGTGACTTTTGTTTGAGGCGTACACTGAACTCATCCCTCAGTCAAGTCATGTCGGACGTGCCTTCAAGAATTGCGATTGTGGCATTCGAAAAGACTCTTTGAGACGCACCTGTCAAGCTGGAAGAGCGGATGCTTTTTGGACTTGGATTCAGAGGAGGGAAACATGAAGGTGTAACTGCGCATGTTGGCTGAAAGCTTGCCAAAAAAGCGTCTACATCCGTTCTGCACTTCGAAACGCTGCCTGCTGGCCCAGAGACCAAATACCCAACACTAGAAACTTAGGATGCTATTCCTGAACGGGCAGTATCAATTATAATGACATGGACTGGTAAGTCGGCGATGATCCAACAGCAGCCAGCGGACTTTTCTGGGATTTCCTTGCATTGCAAGTATGTTGGAAGGTGCAGGGGAACTCTGAAGGCCTGACCCAGCAACATGCCACCAGAGCTAAGACAGCTAAGATATTGCCATGTAGCTAATGAAGATATTCCCCCGGTGACAGGAAGAAGATGAAGAGGGATACTATAATCTTCCGAACCATCCTTCGAAGGCTCTTCTAAAAATCCCCTCTCAGGCTGTCGGCAACGGAACGCAGTCAGTAAGGATGCCGGCGTGTGCCGAGACACGGGGTAAGTTTAAGCCTCGGCTGAAACGCTCGCAGCACGGGCTCCACGTGTTTGGGTCCTTTTGGTGAGGATACCTGCTTTGGTGAGTGCGAAACCCTTCACTGCAGTCAAGCAACACTTGTGTGCAGGAATGGAGCTTAACCTTTGCAAAGATCATCTCCTCCTCCACCCCGAACTGGGACTCACCAGCCGGCACCAGGTACCGGTAGGCTAACCAGTTAGACACAGTACCACAGGCTGATTCCACTCTGCTCCATCCAAGTAAGCTCAGCCAGTAAGTAACTGGTACCGAAAGTAGTACTGTTCGCCATGGCTGCTTCAGGGCTGACTTAGATTTCACAGGATGACATCCAGCGTGCGGCACTGTGACCATGCTAGTGACAGGGCAAGCCAGCATGTTACAATTTGCTTGTGCTTTCCGTGGCTTCCACGATATCTTACTCTGCGAATCTCTGCTACACTAGCATGCAGCATGCAAGCCGCCACGGTCACCTTGCCGCCGGAGGCCATGAAGCATGGAGCGCATGAAGGCCCTCGGTCTGCCTCTCCTGTTTCCCCTTCTGAGAGTGGGAGGGATTCGCCGAAGGTTGGTTTGGCGCTGGACCCCAGCCCACGGCTCCTCTCACGAAGGGTAGGCCCAGCAGAAGGAAGGCCTCTTCCATGCTGTCTGGAGAACAGCATAGTCTTGCAGGCCGTATGCACAAATTACGCTCCAGCCTCCGCGGCGGAAAAATTCAAATTATGCAAACAGAGATCGAGTGAGAGACAGATATGACAGGAAGCAGGGAAAGCAAGGTGGCAAGAGCAGGACAAATATGAGGGACTGCAGAAAGAAGCAAAGGGGACCTGGGAGCAAGACATGTTGCCAAGAGGATTCACGTGGCAATCCTTCGTGGGCAGAGCGATACCTCAGGAGGTGTCTGTACATTCAGTCTCTGACCAGTCTGAACCTCCCGAGCAAGTTTTGCATCCGTATGCTCTTTCAAAGCACCCTGAGCAAAGCGACCTCTGACACTGAGAATTCGGATAATAGCAGGCCACAGATCCAGCAGTTGTGCTTGGAAGCAGTTTCTAGCTCATCTCTGTGACTCTGTCATGTGACTGCTATGACCATGTTGTGGATCAGGTTGCAAGCAAGACAAGTGGCCAAATTCAAACAATTCCAATTAACACAGAGGCACGCCAAGCCACGCTCACACACCTAAAGCTCGCAGCACTACTTCAGCAACAAGTCAACCAAAATACCTCAAAGCTCATGACATCTGGGAGCTCTACGATCAAAAGAAGTGCTCGCAGCATGGCGCACGCTCTGCCAAGCTTTGAAGACCGAAAGACTGTCAACAAGCTTCAGTGGTCAGCACAACTACTTCCCGAAAAATGAGAGGAACAGAAAACAATTATGGCTGACGGTCTGGCTTTGGGAGTGGGTCGGAGGAGGGTGGAGTCAGGCTATGAAAATGTTTACGTACTATTTCTCTGACACTTAGCATTGCACAAGTCGAGAACACTGCTTCGAAAGTTTTCGAAGTATCAGTGAAACGAACATGCCTGCACCGGCGATCAAGCCAAGCATTGAGCACATCTAACTGCACACTCTGGGAAGCCTGCCCCAGCAAACATCTTCGCAACAGTTGCCAAGAACCCCTCTCACAAATCACATCTGAGTGGCAACACGCACAGAAAAATTCGGCAGGCCTCAGATTGATTTCCGTGGCAGCGATGTAATCTCAACCAAAAGAGAAATTCCGTAAAGGACCCGGTCAGGTCTTCCTCGCTCTTGTAGACGCGCACACATTGTCTCAGCCCATGGATCATGACTTGATATCATTCTTGATATCATTCCAGGCCGGTGTCAACAAGAGTCCCGGGTCCTTAGCACATCCTTGTTTCAATTGTCGCACCAAGTCCCCCGACACTCCTCGAGTGTCGGTCCCGCGCCAGTTCACAAGATTTGGTACAACTGTCATCATGGCAGGCTAGGCAGATGGTCTGCCCAAAAGCTTCACATCTTGCGGACTGGCTGGCTGCTTGCATGGGGTCCTCCCTGTGCTCTGACGTTTACACAGTGGAGGTGACCCCATAGCTTCCTGATGACCTTACACCTGGTCCCAGGCAGCCCTCGTGCGAATGGTAGCAGGACAAGGCTACCTTCAACCGCATGCATAGCCCCAAAGCAGCGCTGGCTGTAAGAATGTGCTGGAATCCCTCAGCAGTTGACGAAGGCTCAGAAATCGCAACGTGCTCAAAAAGTCAACTTATCTTCTCATCCGATTTTGGTTTGAGATTCAACTTTAACAATTGCACGGAGCACATCGAGAGATTGAGCCGCTCAATGCTTGCGCTCTATTCCTGGATGGCCTGGCCGTGAAGGCAGTGTCTGGGCAAGGATCCCCATGGGTTGGTGATCCCCATGGGTTGGTGGTGTAAGTGGCCCATCAGGTACTCATTGTGCAAGTATGTGAAGTGCAGGTTCAGATTCTTGAGATTGTGAGAGCAGGAATGGGAGGTGCCAAGAACCATCTGATTACTGAGTCCAGAAGCACATTAGCAGATCAATGGACCTCAGATCTAGAACCTCTACCCTTTTTCCATATGGCAGAACACCCAAGCAAAGCATGCTGTTCCTTTCCAAACCATGGGCTCAGCACCTAAGACTGGATCCATGTCAATGTAGAGTGGCCTGCAAGCACCATCCCATACAACTTTGGCCAGGTGCGGTTCTGAAAATTGAATATGGACAACCTTCCAGTATCTGTTCCAACCCTCGTGAGCGATGCGACAAACAAGCTTTAAGATTCCATGATTCTTCCTCAAACACGCGATACTAAAGCCCTGAGATCCTGAAAGGTCATGTGGCCACAAGACAATGCATGGGGCCTCATAGGACTGGTTGTGTAGACAAGTAGTGCAAGATGTGAAAAGTATCTTCACAGTAGATTCAAGATTTCCCGCGCAGTGTGCGGAAAAAAGAGAACAGTAACCAAGTACTTGAGTGCCCACCACGTCGACCCCGTAAACAATCCCAATCCCAAACAAAATCCCAATGCAATGCCTACACTACATGCGAAAAGGAATGCTCGAGATAGCTGGGACTTGGGAACTATCAGGAGGTTACGCGAAGTCAAAGGGGTCCCAAGTCCAGATTATGTAGGGGCTATTTGCGGACTGTCATGTCTGAGGCTCCACCTTCCAAATAACATATTTGAAGGGTGTCCCCTTTCAAGGCACCTAAAACTCCTACAGAAACCCGTTCGGCACCTCAAGGGTCCGCATGGTCGCTGTACGCCCAAGACGGCCACATCGCCCGAGGCAGGCCATTTTCACCCATCCCTCCTTGTCAACGTTTTGGGGGTCTAGCCTTGGACATGAAATCAGGGGTGACGTGAGGCATTGAGAAATCCGGCCTGGCCGTCATGGTCCAGTGCGGATGCACACCTAGCTAAGCTATGCTTATACGGGGTGACGCCAGTACTTCGTTTCTCACTGTTAGCCACCTCAACATAATTAGGGT